CGAGAGGGACAGAGAGAAAGTGAAAAGGGAGGGAAAAGAGGAAGCAACGTGGAAAAGCAACGGTGGCAAGCTTTGAACTGCCATTCTCGCGCGCCAGCCAAGTATAGAAACATAGACTCAGCCTGAGGATCAACTCTCTCGAAGATCTACCGACGGTTTTCGAACCAACAACTTCCTCAGCAACTGCCATCGGGGAAGTTTCTGGCCGACGCAGCTTCTCCGGGCTCTCCCCAGTTTTGGATCCCCAAAATCTCCCGTCGTTTCGAAATTGGACACGCGAATATCTGGCAAACGGGACGATACTTTCCTGCTCGACGTGAAATAATCGTTGTTTCGGTCGAACGAAGCGGAGAAGCGAGAGAACGTATCGAGGTTTCGCAATCATTTTTGTTCCCCCCCTCCCCTCATCGTGATCAAAAGAATTATGATTCGGTTCTGTTCCTGATTTAATCCTGCGCCGATATCGATGCCAGTTGCCCCTCGCGAGTCGCATCAAACGAGCCCAGCCCTTTTTAGACTATCGCCATCGTTTTTTCATTTATTCTATCGAAATTCAGTGACTCGCGGCAATTAAAGTTTGCTTCGCCGGGGAAAACGCGACCACGCTCCCCCCCCCTCTCCCCTCCGCTTTTTCGTTTTGTTCCCTCCCTTGCTCTCTCCCATCGTCCTTCTTTGCGCCCGTGATGGAAATTCATAATCCAATTTTCGAGGGCCGCGGTGGTTTTTCTGGTTATTAATCGGGGGCACGCGGACCGTGCGCAAACACGACGATATTTCGGGGCGAAGAGAAGAAAAAAGAAAAAAAAAAAAAAAGAAACGCGAGACGGGGGTTGGCAAATCTAGCCACGGCTGCAACGACGATAAATTTACGTCGTTAATTCTCCCTAGCGAGGGCCGAATTGGTCTGCCTTTGTTGCGGCATGCTGCCACTGGCAATAAATTCACGATTCCGATATCGGTGCTGCTAAAAGGTTACCGACGAATTAATAACCGATCTATAGGTATCCACGGATATCGTCGCAGGGATTCGAGGCTCCGTGAGACCCGTAATTACATCGAGCATTACGCGATGCTCCTTTTCTCGCGATTCGCCATTCGATCGATCGCCTATATAGATTCGTTGGAATTTTCTCCCTAAAATTGTCTCCAAGTGTCTATTGTGTTCTGTCAATAATATGCGTATTTCAATCTGTATCTCGTTCATTGAAGTAGACGCGAGTCGATATGTTCATTATTTCTCTTTTTTGGTGTTTCCAGTGAAATTGAGAAACAAGAGCGAACGCTGTGTACAATGGGAATATTTATTAATTATGAACGTTACATATTGCATTTATATTTTCGTTATCGCGCCGGTCGTCCTGATTTTTTGCTTTCAAATTGGATGACGATGAATATGGAAATAATATGATCAAACTACAAATGTTTTCGGTAGAATTCAAGCCGGGTTCAGTGCTTAAAGAAGTGAAGAACTTTAGGAAAAAATTTCTCAGAGAATAATTAATAATTCAAAGAGACAAATATAATTTATTGCTTTATGTGTTGCAGCTATGAAAATGAAATTTTTTTGCGTATAATCTACAGGCAATCCGTAAATCATTTCCCCCTTTCTAAATGCATTACGCAACGAACATAATTCTCAATTTTCCCTTCTTCTTCAATTTTTTAATTTTAATTAAATTTGAAACTGTATAAATATTTAGCTAGGCTGTCCGCGCCGAGGTAAAAGCTTGCGAAGGACATTTATTTATTCACGTGTTCATCACCCGTTGCATTAATTACTCGAAACAGCGCGTCCAATTTTAACCACGGAAATTTATGATGTTCGTTCGTTCATTCGCGATTGTGATCGGAGCATAGCGCGAGACTATTTCAAGCTACGAAGATTGATAACACCTTAACTTAGCAGAATTTGACGTTCAAAGACGTTTCAAAGCAACAGCGCAGACAGATTTAGAGAAGACTCGAAAACAGGAGAAACTCGGAGCCACTTCTCCGAACTTTGTGATTTATGTTCCCGTTTGCAAATATCCGAGTATATTTTGCAAATCGGACGTAACAGTCGTCGTCAAAAAATCGTCCCAGATGCGCGTTCGTATTATCGGGTGTCTCCTATTTGGCTTATTCACTACTTTGGCGATGCGTGTCGGTAATGGCGCGTAAGTAGAACAAGTCCGTCGCTGGCCGGACGGCTCGATTATGAAACGCTGTTTAAACCAGAGTTTAAACTTCCATTTTTTCTCTCTCTCTCTCTCTCTTCTTTCTCTCGCTCGCCCGTGGATTTTATTTTC